ATGGATTAAACGGAGTGATGGGGTAGTTAAAGCGGGATAAAATTGCTTTACGAGAGGTCAGCTATCGCCATTAATCAACTCGATGCCGAAGCCTTCACGCGATCCAACTGAGTAAAAATCACTATTCCATCGGGCCAGGGTAGTTGTAAGGCGTGAACAAATTGCTTCTGATTGCACAACTTGGTTAGTACCACGGGATTGCTATAGCTCCAGCGGCTTCTATCCATCTGCGCATATACCTCTATCGATTATCTGGGACCTTGTAGATAATTCGGAATTCTTCGGCTGGCCTAGGGTTGTGCTCTGTGTCGGCAAAGTGGGCAACTATTACTGTGTTGCATACCTTTCTACATCCAGTTGATAGCCATGCCGGACGGTGTTTTTTCATTCGCTTGGACAGACACTTAGTCGTACAACCAACATATCCTGCTCCACAGGAGGCGGCAAATGAATAAATTCACATAGAATTGTCGTGGACAGGTCTATATTCCTTGAGGTTGAGTAAAGTAATAATGCAATTTTGCTGCTGAGTACGTCCGTCTGAGTTCCTGTGGTAAATGGCGGTTAAAAATTTCGGCAGCAATTTCCCCTTTGTACGGGAGTGGTAAGCAAATGGCTTTTATATTAGCCGTTAAAACCCCCGGTGTGGTCATCCTCTTCTCCGGATGAACTTTTATGAATCGAGCTGGATAACCATTTTTGAACAGCAACGAGCATCTTCGTTGTACTTCCCCTGAAAGTGTATCATGCGAACATATTCTTTCTGCTCTAATGAGTAGATTATGAATTAAATTTCTTTTCAGCCTCAGTGACAAGAAGCTGTGGAATTTCGTGTACTGGCTGTTCCAGGAGCTTTTTCTATACACGGGCATTGTAATATCTCGCTAGCGAGGCTATTTAAACCCACTTCCAGAAAGTGAAAACAACGATTTTCCTCTACCTCTGCGGTAAATTGTAACGCCTTAGGGGCTCGGTTAATAGCGTTAGTAATATTTTCAATATTCTGAGAGGACTGAAACATCACAAATATGTCATCGACATAACGGCGGTAGAGGATTAAACTTGCGATGGCTGACTTTAGACTTCCCTTGTTCAAGTATGCTTATGAAGTTTCATCGACTACTGATCCAAGTGGGGAGCCCATTGCCACTCCATCTCGCTATCCGTATATCTCCCCGCTAAATAAAAAGTGAAGGTTGACCGTGTATCTAAACAGCAATTCTTCCAAGGCCGCGGTCGGTACGGCCTTGTACATTCTGTTCCCGTCAACCTATTCGCAGATATAATTTATTTATTGGTTCAACTATCGGTATATTTGCGAACAATGAGGAGACGTCCAGAGAGCACATCGTTAGACACAAGACATTCACATCTTTCATTTGACTCTACAAATTTCAAGCTATCATTTACGCCATGCGCCGCTATCCGCTTTCGGATGGGCTCAGGTATCTCAACTAGCCAGTGTGCGATCGAGCTGAATCCTTCTTACCCAAGACCGAACGCAGCGCGATATTTTGCTTGTGAGTTTTAGGCAAGTCATAGAGCCTTGCAATAACCATGCCCACACAGGATGCACATACCCGTAAATCACTTTAATAATATAACCCTCGTTTTGTAGCCCCTTAAGGCATTTGCAGATATGGCTCTCGGATAGCTTTCTCACATATTTTTCGCCCACTGTCCACGGAAACGTCGTTGAATCTACCAGTATATCCCACGGCATAGTAAGTTAGTCCAAGCTGTCCATGATAACAACACCAGAGCCTTTGTCTGGTACAGAAAGCACAATTTCATCATTATGGTAAGACGATTCAAAGCTTTAATGTGCTCATGCCTCACGGGAGCTTGGTGTGTTATCCGGGTATGACGACACTGATAACAGGCATGCACTAGTGATGACGTAAACTCTTCTATGTGTAATACGATGCACGGAACTAATTGTGAGGTCTATGGGAACACGTTTCGAATTGGGCTTCAACTGCTACTCTGTTAGCTCTGCAGTTAGAAAAGCGAAGCTTAGGGTCCCAGGATAAAACATCAACTGTTAGATGCTCGAGTAGCAGGGATAATAAGTTGCTGTCATACCTTTCTGGTTTGGTTGGAAATAACGTCCTAGCTTTCTCCTCCTTCAAGGTTTTCGAAATCGAATTCCTTAATTCCGTTCCTTGTTTCGCGAAGATAGCCTTAATCGTTTCCTCAAGCTCCGTCTTGTCCTTCGTTGTGAGTGAGGATACTGCAGCGTTACCTAGACTCATGCCACGTTTCAAATCACCTGGCATGGCATGCAGGGTATCCATCTGGTTCATTGCTAGGCGCTTTAAACCTTTGCTGTCTGGTCTGACACGTGAAAGAGTAAGTGACTTGTAATTGCTAGATGGGCACACATCGCTTTCTATGCAGCCTTCAACAAAACCAAGGCATATTTTCGTCTTTTCAAGTTTGCTGTTTTATCATCATTATCATCATCATCATAGTACGCTTTAGCTGCAGGTGGAAGACACCGCAGCTATTGTGACACAATGTAAATGACAAAAAGCAAAAAGCTACGATGGTACACCGACTGAAACCCCAGTGACCGATGGACATCGTTCCGAAGAGCTAACAGTCGGCTATCCTGCCTCAAAATGAGAGTTATATTAAAGCCTAACGAATGAGATCAGGACTCTTGGGGAAACTAACCAGCAAGGGGATAGACAAAGGAACCCACAACCCAAACGCCGTTAATACCGGCTCCTAGCCATATCAGCAAGTGTGTCCAACCAGAAGTGTTCGTTGTCCTTACTGCTCCTGATCCGGTAGCTCACATATTTGTTGAGCAGTTTGAACACAGGCGGGACCATGTTACTTTTCACAATTTTATAGAAAACCAAAAGGTTATTCGAAGTCGATATTTAGGAACGTAGGCTTTTGGTACTTATCAATAACATATGTTCGCTAACTGTCTCGTATGCACTTGAGTATCGATTCGTAAACACAGACCCTCACAGGATTGGTTGAGAAGGACCTTGCCTTACTTTCAATATTTCCTTGGTTTTTCTTTCCAGCTTTCAGCCACTGTAACGCAGGATGCTTTTAGTAAATCGGTTGGATACTACGTGTGTACGTTCTTTTTTGTTTATGGGCTAAGGATCATACTTAACCTTGTGGAGACGAGGTTAAGCTACTGCGATTTTGCAATTTCCTACACTACTTTGGAAGATTTCCTCTGTGAAACCAATATCGGCTAACTGGAAACGCTGGAAGCATACTTTTTAGATTATTTAGAGCTACTATCCGTTTTGCAGCCAAATGCGGTACTATAAGAGGGGCACAGAATTCTATTGTTGAGAAAACCTCTGGAGAGTGAAGGCCAAAGACATTTTGACGCTTTTGCAGCATCCGCACGCACGCACGCTCTCGCAGACCGGACGTGCAAGCTTGGCCGATGCAAGGTCACTGGACCTTATCGACTCATGTGAGGCTTAAAAAAGTCACAGCATAAGCGTCACGTGCACCACGGCCGAGGACTCGCCAACTGGGCTGACTACATGCGATACGATTGAACAGTGCCTTGTGCCCTACCGTGATACAGTGTTAAATTGTGTTAAACTATTGGCACTTTTGACTATCTATTTTCCTACCTAATCTCGGAGTTTTCATTATTATTTGTTGGGTCGTTAATTACGTAATAATACGCAACCGTATTTACCTATAAAACCCCAACAAATTCTGGTGACCCCGACGTAAGCTAATATGGCCTCCGAAGACAGCTATTTGATGTCCTCCGTATTACATCAACCAACGCACAGAACAGTCAACCTCCCGCCGTTTTGGCATCATGATCCAGCAATCTGGTTCTGTCAGGTCGAAGCACAATTCCATCTCCGGAATATCACACAACAGTCAACCATGTTTTATCATGTGCTTTCTGTGCTTCCACCTGAAGTTGCTGCGGATGTTCGTGATGTGTTACAAGCCCCAGATCAAGTCACCCCTTTCAACACTTTGCGCGACGCTTTCATCAAACGGACAACGATATCAGAATATAAGCGTCTGGAACAACTCCTCAACGGTGCTGATCTTGGTGAATGTACACCATCACAATTACTTCGTCGGATGTACAACACTTTGGGAGATCGCCAGCTTTATTCCGCTCTTTTCATAAAACTGTTTTTGAAGCGCCTCCCTTCACATGTACTAACAATCCTAGCACCGTCGATTGACACCGTCCCCATCGACAAACTGGCGACTATGGCTGACCGCATTTTAGAAGTTCAACCAAATTCAACTTCTTTGTCTTCGATCAACTCAGCGACGGAAACACCGTCCATTGCCGACCAGATTAAGCTGCTTTCCGAACAAATCGCTGAACTTAGAGCTTCACACTCTCGCCAATTTCGATGTTTTTCACGTCGACGATCAAACAGCAGAACTTACCGACCGAATTCCAACAACAGACAGTCTGACAACTACTGCTGGTACCACAAAAAATTTGGTCATAGAGCAAGGAAATGTGTTTCCCCGTGCTTGTTCAGAAACTCCAAAAGCAACGCTCCGCAGATGCCGGAAAACCGCCAAGCCGAGTGTTAGGGGCGAGTAACACTCATGGCTATCAAACCCAATCTTAACGTCTTTCTGTTGTGGATCGTACTTCTGGACTACAATTTTTGATTGCCACTGGAGCAGACGTTAGTTTTATTCCCCCGCAACCCACCGACACTCTCCCACCTTGAAATTTTTATGAACTTACTGCTGCAAACGGTACGAAAATACGTACGTTTGGACAACGTTTGCTGACACTTAATTTGGGATTACGACGTGAGTACCCTTGGATTTTTCTTATTGCGGATGTTCGCCAGCCTATTTTAGGTGTGGATTTTCTTACACATTTCAATTTATTAGTTGACTTGAAAAAACCGTAGCCTCAGGACGGTAGTACTAAGTTATCTGTGTAATGCTGTCCCCACCGGAAATTCAACAAAAGACCAGATCCGGACCTGAGAAAACGGTGCTATTTGTACAAATTCATCGTACCAAAGTAGAAATTACCTTAACGGTTTTCCAAACACAAAAGTTTACCAACAGATTTCAATCAGTTCCACAAAAGGTCCGTAAGCCAAGGTGCACACGAAACAAATGGACATAGAGGTGAGACCGAAGTTATGATAAGGCAATTGAGCCAATCGTAAGCGTCCGCCAACGGGAACGGGCTGAGGACAGACAGACCTGCCACACTGGATACATGAGTTGTGGGAACACAAAATCGCTTATGTCAAGAGAACAATGACAGGTCCATGGGGGCGGGGTGAAGTTAAGATGAGTCACCGGAGTCACTCGCTAAGAGCATCGGGGCAGAGAACAAAGGAATGGAAAGTAAGGGAGTTAGCAAACATAATCGATCCAGACGGCCGAGCAATGTAGAACTGGGCATTCAACATGGGAGAGACTGAGGTGGTCAAAGTTCTTTCTACACTGCCCACCAAAATCCGATCCGGATTTTCCATTGAAGATGTCGGATGTTTCTGCTCTGGAACGCCCTACGCCGGCTCCATCCACGCTAGGGGGCCAAAGGACTTACACCGGTACGCCAGAGGCCCCCCACTTCGGCTATTGGACTCACAGCGGTCCTCCCTGGTGCGACAGGCCGAAACCCGTCTCCCGCCTGCGGAGAGCCAATAGCCGGAACTACATCCCCACTCGTGTCGCTCCCTTCTAGCAAACACAACTTTCGTATATCCCTTGTGATCAGCCCATTCTTGGTCCTAACAACTGCAGTCCTGACAAGCCCGTCTTCAGAACCTATACAGTGGTCAACAATCCCCATGGGCCACGTGCCACGTGTACCGGTTTCGGAAGAGACCAAAACTACATCCCCAGGTCTGAAGTTTCGAATCCTTCGCAGCCACTTTTGTCTGGAGTGTAACAAGGGCAAGTACTCTGCGACCCATCTTTTCCAAAACAACGCTGTCAGGTAATTGACTTGCCGCCAACAGCGTCTATATTCTTCGGTTAGAGAAGCCGCAAGGAAATGCGATGCATTAGGTCGCAGTATCAGTAAATCGTTGGGGGTAAGGGCCATACGGTCGTTTGGGTCCGATGTCAAAGGTACTAACGGCCTGCTGTTGATGATGCGCTCCGCTTCAACAAACAGAGTACTGAGCGCTTCCTCATTAAGCGTCTGTTGTGTCGCAATCGATAACAGCACCCTCCTAACAGACCTGATCATGCGCTCCCATATACCCCCCTATGGCTGGACATTGGAGGGTTGTAGTGCCATTGGACTCCCATGCTAAGGAGTCTATCATTGATTCTTGCTTGGGACCACCCTTGACAGCAGTACGCAACTCTGATACGACGCCTACGAAGTTGCTGCCGTTGTCGCTGAATATTTCGACCGGAGTCCCTCTACGGGAGACAAATCGCATCAAGGCCATAATGAACGAGTCGGTAGTTAAGGTATGGGAAATCTCAAGATGTACGGCTCTCGCTTGTAGACAGGTAAATAGACACCCGTACCGCTTTTCCTGCTTTCGCCCGTGTTTAACAAGAAATGGGCCAAAGTAATCCACGCCGACCGATTTGAATGGGTGCCACCCACGTTCCACCCGAGCTAACGGCAATGGCGCCATCAGCTGCTCACCGGTGGTAGCAAGCCGTTTCTTGCATACCCAACAAGCCCCTATCAACCGTTTCACTGCCGACATCCCGCGAACGATCCAATATTTACGGCGCAAGCTCGCCAGGACCTGAGAAACTCCCGAGTGACCTTCCATCGAATGATAAAATCGGATCAAAAGTTCAGTAACAGCGTGTTTAGGTGGCAGGATAACCGGGAACTTGAATGCAGCGTCGTACTCCGAATACGCCAGCCGGCCACCAACACAAAGGAGGCCACCGCGCAGTACGGGGTTGAGACGGGCCAAAGGACCTCGCCGTATCTCCATCTTAGACGCTGTTGGGTCTGCATTCGCCTTTTCAAGCCGTTCCAACTCTGTTCCATAAGCTTCGAGTTGCGCAAGCCGGATGACATCACACTCTGCTCGGTTGAGTTCAGACAGGGTAATTAGTCTATTGGGTTGCGCGGCCCCAGCAGCTCCCTGTCTGCGGACGTAAAGCTGCTGCTTGAATCGTGATAACCACACCACCGCTTTTAGCAACTTAGTCCAGTCGGAATATCTGCTGATAAGGAGCGATAATGGTGTTGCACTTGATGTCGCACAAACCTGTGCGGTGGAACGTTTCAATTCTAAGTTGGCTGGCTCAGAACTCGGACAAAACTCAGGCCACTCATCCTCGACACTCAGTAGGAATTCTGGGCCAAGAAACCAGCGCTTCAAGGATGTTACGGATGTAGTGCCTCTAGACAGCAGGTCTGCCGGATTGCATTCTGATTTGATATGCTTCCACTGACTGGGCTCAGTTAATTCCTGTATGACCGACAGTCGGTTGGCAATAAAGGTGCTGAATCTTTTAGATGAGTCATTTATGTAGTACAAAACCGTCGTAGAGTCAGTCCAAAACACAACTTTATCGAAACTCATGTGAGCTCCTTCAGTTAAATCTTCATATAACCATTTCCCCAACATGGCTGCCGATAGCTCCAGTCGCGGTATCGACACTGATTTCAGAGGGGCTACTCTCGACTTCGCGTATAACAGAGAGCAATATGATGTGTCTTCAGCATGAAACCTAGCATAAGCAACTGCGCCAAACCCAGCTTCAGAAGCATCGCAAAAGATGTGTAGTTGCGGCCGCTCATTTGTCTCTCCAGGCTTACGAATGCACCGAGGAATCTTTAGGATGTCTATCGCCTTCACCTCACGTAGCCAGGAAGTCCAAATGTCACGGCCATCACCAGTGACTGGGTCATCCCAATGTAGTTTCTCTCGACATAGTCTTTGTAACAATAACTTTGCGGGCATAATTAAGGGTGCGATCAGACCCAAAGGGTCATAGACAGAAGACACAGCAGACAATATGCCCCTTCTCGTAATTGGCCTCTCGGGTATGGTGAACTGATAAAGAAAATTGTCCTCACGGGAGTCCCAGGCAATTCCCAAAGTTCTCCTAACCACCCCAGGGACTTCAGCTATCGGTTTGATCGACTCAGCTATCTCAGCTTGCGGAACCGCACGATACACCTCTTCATGACTGCAGACCCATTTGCACAGCTTAAATCCACCCCTACTTAACATCTCTCTGAGCCGTGCCACAAATTGCATTGCTTCCTTCACGTTCGGTAGCGATATCAAGAGGTCGTCAACGTAGAAGTTATTGTGAACAGCTTCCGCCACGATTTCACTGTAATGAGGTCTCCAATCATCAGCTGTTCGACACAAGGCGAAATTGGCACAAAACGGTGACGAGGTGGCACCGAATGGATGCGCCGTCATTTGATATTCAACCACTTCTGAACCAATCGAGTCATCCTTCCACCAAAGAAACCGTAACGCCCCCTGTCGCGTAGAGGCACCTTCACCTGCATAAACATGTCTTCGATGTCAGCAGAAACTGCCACCCGTTCAATCCTGAAACGCATAAGAATACCAATTAGGTTAGCCGTAGTATCTGGACCTTGAAAGAGTTGGTCATTCAGAGAAAGACCCTTGTACTTTGCTGCACAATCAAACACCACTCTGAGTTTGTCAGGTTTCTTCGGATTGATCACTG